AAATTGGGGATAGAACTTTTGAAAATGGGAAGGAGACCAAGACATAGAAGAGGCAGGGAGGCAGCAGTGGGGTAGGGTATGAAAAAAGAACTCAGATGTGTTATGTACATGCACCAGCTCCCCACAATAAATGTAAGCATTATGTAGCACAAACATGTACTAATAAAAATAAAATGTACAATAAAAAAAGATAAAAAATAATATTTATGAAGCAAGACATAAACAAGTTTTGGGATAACTAAAAAAAAATGACAGTTGCTGTTTGTAAGAAAATTAATTTAAATGCTTTCGAAAGACTTTATACAAGGGAGTCAAATAATAGCAGTCAAATTACATGTCAGCAAAATCATTACAGAGATCAGACAACAGAAGAGAAAAACTGAGTCTACTACACTGGGATTGCTTCACAAGCACCTTTTCGTTCCCAAGGAATTTCAAAGCAGAACTAGAAACCAGGGGCTGGGGATATAGCTCAGCGGCAAAAGCACCTGCCTGGCAAGCGCAAGGTCCTGAGTTTGATTCCCGGTACCAAAACAAACAAGCAAATCTTCATAAATGGGACACTATGGCAGTGGTTTGTGCAAGGAGCGGGAGGGGAGTACTGGCTGCCCACCCACCCCAAGGAAAAAGCTTTGGCTTGACATCAGAAGTCCGACAGTGGTTGGGCGCAGTGGCACAGGCCTGTAATCCCAGCTACTCAGGCAGTTGAGGCAGGAATGCTGCAAGTTGGAGGCCACCCTGGGAAACTACGTGAGACCCTGTCTCAAAATTTAAAAAAATTAGAAAAGGGCTGGGAATGTAAAGCAGTGGTAGTGCACCCCTCAGTTTGATCCCCAATACCTGTAAAAAAGTATTGGCCAATGCGTGTACATTTTGAATAACATTAAAAGTATTTAATCATATACCTATTGTTGTATTTTATTCTTTGCTTTGAGCAATCTTTCAGTGAACTAACTAGCTTAACCTCCAATTGTGTTGCATAAGAGGAATCCTATTTATTTGAAAACCAAACTACTACAACAAGGACCAAGAACATCTCGGATTAACACTGTGATCCCCAGTAATTCCCCCAGGGTACTTCCTGGCATTAGGTCCCCAAGAGATAAATGTTAAACTAATAAACTATGTAGCAAACATGAAAAAACATGCTTCTAACAAAAGGCAAAGTGAAAAAGACAGAATACAAAATTCCATGTAAATTATAACTGCACTTGCTTTTGTAAAGATGGAGACAGATGGATAAAACAAGAAGGAAATACTCAAAATTGCAAAATAATTATTTTTAGGGTAGAATGAATCATGGACAACCTTATACATTTTAAAATATTTTTTTAACCTTTGGCATGTTCTTTTACAGATTTGAAAAGATAGGAATTGAAAAAAGAATAAAGACAGTTTTGCTCCTACTGAACTTCCAAAATAAGTCAATCAACATTTCCCTTTTGTAAGTTCTCCATCATTTTGCCTGGCTTCCTTTGGCAAGCTCTCTCCTTCACACATGTTACCTTCTCAAGGTCCTGAGACCAAACCTGTACTAATACTTTGTGTTTCCAAACCATCAGCGTGCTTGTTTTAAAATCTGAACCTATCCACTCTCTCATTTAATATCCATTTGGTTTTAAAAAAATTTCTCAAAAATACAATTTACATTCCCAAGAGACCCCACACACCATCTAATTAAATCATTCAATCAGAAAACAAATTAAAATGAAATATCACTGCAATCCCCAAAAGGAAAATAAACTTTTCAGTCATGACTAGAACAGATCTCTAGGGTGACGCTCCAAAGCCTCTTCTAATTGCAAGTCCTAGCGAACATCCTGCAGAACATTCTGTGCTATCTGCAGCTTCAGGACAGCATTCTTTCCAAAGGAGAGAGGGGCCTGAGCAAGACTCCAAAGCAAACATATCCTTGGAGAACAGCAAAGCCGCTTCTATTAACAACTAATTGGTGCACTGGGTACCAGGACTGCGTACTCATTCATTCTCCCCTGCATCCATCCAGTGCCTGTTCTGTATGGAACTGCCAGGAATGGTCCTGGTGCTCATCAAGCACCAAGGAAGCAAATATAACCTCTGCCTCTCCTTGTGAAAGCAAACCAAACCTGAAGCTGCCTGAGTTTATCCATGCAAGGTACCTCCAATTGGAAAACTACGGATCCCATCACCCTCGACTATCCTCTGAGGGCTTTTACCCTGACACCCACTTCTGCCAAGAAAGTGTGCTCTTCCCCTATGACCTGCCAGCCCTCGTAGTATGCAGTACAATCCATAGCCAAGAACACACTCTGAAAAGAGGAGCCCAGCGGACACTGGCACCTCCCCAGACTCCAGAACCAAGGGCCAAGATAAACCTGTTCTCCTTATACATTGAAGAAGAACACAGACTCTGAAGCTGCACTAGCTGAGTTTAAATCCCTGTAGTACCACATACCATGGGCTGACCCTGGACACATCCAATAACCTCACTGTGCCTTGGTGTCCACCTCTGCAAAATGGAACTCATATTACTGTAAGATCGTAAGGAGTAAAGAAGTCCACATATGCAAAGTGCTTAGTAGAGGGTCTGGCACATAGTAGGTGCTGTACCATTTTTAGCTCTAATAATTATCCTTCCTCTCATTTCAGCAGTGGAAGGTGGACTGTTCACAATGCCTGTGGATACACAAGAATGGCACACATAAAGTCAGGAGTCTGATCTTATTGTCCTTTCCCACCCTCTGCCTTCACAGCACTATATCTGGCCAGTCCCTCTGTGTGCCCCTTACCTGTGTTCCTTAAACCCGAGCTCAGGGACAGCCTTGTCACCATGAGGAGGTTGTCAGTTATCCCTACACTGTCACAGTACAACCAACCAAGTAACCTCTACCCTGTCTGCCTGCTACTAGTCTTCCCCAAGTCTCCACCCTTGCCCGCCCTACTGTGGACCATAGCTCTCGCCCCTCTGTCCTGAGACTGAAATCGTTTGTGAATATCCAGAGCAGTCATGGCACATACACAAGAGCGTAGGACCAACGCTCGATTTAAGGACCCTGCTCTCTTTTGTACCCACCTCCTATTTTTGCAGGTATACATTTGAAAGTCTCAGACAACATACAGTTACGAGGTTTTCTAGGAGAAAATCACAAAGGTTCCTTTCAACTTCAACACTGTGTTCATTTCCACATAGAGCCTCATCTATAAATCATGCAAGCTGGTCTACAGGCCAGGTGGAGGGGCCCATTCCATGCTGAGCACAGGGCTTCACATCGCACCCTCAACACTTCCCACCATCTCCCTCACCAGACAGAAAGACACAAGAGGATCATTTGGAGCGCACACAAGTGGTGGCGTCGGCGTGGGGAGGGGGAATACATGAAAATACATGGCTGAGAAATCTCTCAAAACCTGTGGACAAAATGGAAATGTCAAAGGAGGACATGGCTTTGTGTCTCCAGGGAACATTCTGAAAAACCCTGGGGCAAACATCGCACTTCCATGGCTGATTAACTGTCGGTCCAGGCCTGGAGCATAGAAAACGGCAAGTAAAAAAATAGCAGCAACAGGCACCATCAGACGTGTAATTTGGTCTGCCAGACCCGGTGCCTGATTGAGAGGAAGAGACAAGCCTGAAGAAGGAGCTGCCAGTGGTGATGGTCGCTCTTCTGGAGAAGTGTCAAAGCCAGAAGAAGTCATTAGTCAGGAAGCACAAGGAACAAGGACACCTCTCCTACATTTCCCCAAGCCCGCCCTGGGCAATTGCTCTGGTTTCATGGGGAAACACACAGACAGAGCAGGTCCCTACTCTGGTAAGGGTAGCAGGTGCAAAGGTTGGAAACCAGACACCTAGGACAGGCAGCAGCTTCCAATCCCATCCACACTCCCAAGATCTGCGTGCTGGCCCCAGAGCCCCCAAAGCCTGCCAGGTTTACAGGTGATTTAGCCTCAGTCCTGTCCTTAAGAAGCTCACAGCCTAATAGCAAGCAGGGGATGCAGGAAGGAGAGGAAAAAAAAGTGTGAGCAAGAGAGGCGCTGTGTGTATGCAGCGCCAAGAACTCCATCCCCTCCCTCTGACAGCTCATCTCACCGGGTGGCAGAAGAGCGGCTGCATGCCACCCTCGCTTTGGACTCCGCGACGGCCTGGAGCGCACCCACCCGGCGCAGCTTGGACTCCAAGCCCATCCGCGTGGGTCACCCGCTCCTCCCTGGCCGCTCCCTGGGTCTGGGAGCGGTGCCCGGCAGTGGAGCTACCAGAGGGATCGGCCTTCACCGGGTCCCCACCGGGAAGGCGCAGCCCAGGGCTGGTTTTCGCCGTCCTGGGCGGAGGCGCCACCGCAGTGGCCAGGGCTCAGGCTCAAACACTTCTTCCTGGCTTTGACACCTGCTCTTAGGAGCGTCGGGGACCCGCCAGCTGTGGCTGCGGTGAGGACCGATCCTGGTTTCAGCAGACCCCTAGCCACAGATTGCCGCTCTCCATTCTCAATCGATTACGGATCGAACACAGAGAGGCTGGGGCTGGGGCTTGGACGGTGCAGGTTTCCTATCCTGGGCTTGTTCCGCAGCCTGCGAGTCCTGTATCCCAACAGCTAGGGCCGAGCAACTTGCCTAGCCCTTCCGGCGGCCAAATGAGCTCTTTCGCCCTCGCGCGCTCCCTTGTACACACACACACAAACACCCACACGCACGCACACTCTAAGCTGGACTTGTGTGCGATCCCGAGAGCCCACGAGCAACCAACCTGGAGTCACACGCACATTTGGACACGTGCGCAGCACGCCCCCACATCGACCGCGAGCTACACACACCCTCGCGTGCAGCCCCGCGCACGCACGTGTGCCCTGGGGAAGCGCGCAGGGACGCAAACGCCGAGGGTCCCCTTGGCCGGCGAGAACCTAAGCGCGGTCTGCAGCCCCGGAGCCGGGAGGTCGCGGGCGTGCTGCGCACGAACCCCAGCGCACCCCGCAAGACACTGGGCATTCCCGAGCCTCGCGGGCGGCCCAAGTTTCCCCGGGCGCCCGTACCTTGGATATGCTGCTTGATGACATTCTCCAGGTGGTCCAGCCGCTCAATAATCTTCAGAGTGTCCCCTTTGTCTTCCTCCAGCTTCTTTTCGGGCGCCGGCTCCTGCCCCCGCACGTACACGCTGGCGATGTAGTTGGTGACCCAGCCCACGTAAAGCAGGCATATGATGTTGGTCATGCCGCTCAGGATCACGCAAGTGGACACCAAAGTTTTGGTCTTCCTGGTGCACACCATTCTGGACTCCCTCCTCCATATAGAGCTCCCGGGGCCCCTCCTCGCCGCGCGCCCCGGACTCCCCCGCGCTCACACCCCCTGGCGAGGCCCGGCCGCCGGGTGCGCCGGCACCTGAGTCGCGGGGTTCTCCAAAGCCGGTCCGCGGGCTGCGGAGCCGCCGTGCCCAAGTTTGCAGCTGTCGCCGCTGGCCACCCGGAGACAGAGCTGACAAAGGAAATGAAGTGGGGTTTTTTTCCAAAGATTTTTTTTTTAATCCTCGAGCGCTTCCCAGAGCCGTCACGGATGGCCGGCAGCAGCGCGACCAAACACGCACGTCTGGGAAACTTTGCCACTGCCTGGGTCCGCGGCTGCGCCGCCTCCCATCGCCGGGCGCCGGTGCCTCAGACCCGCGCTGCTGGAGGACAGCGGCGGTAGCTACGGCCGAGGGGAAAGCTTGGAGCAGCGCGGCCCCGCCCCCTCCGAGCGACAAGCGCGGCCACCAATCGCGCTCGGGTTCGGGAGCGGGGCCGGGGCTGGGCGGCCGCGGACCAACGAGGAGGGCGCGGGGGGCGGAGTCCGGGCCCGGGCCCCACCTGCTCGCCGCCCTCGCGCCGCCCCCGGGACGCGCCCCAGCTTCCACCCGCGCGACGCAGGCTGCCCGGGACCCGGAGCTCCCGGAGCGCGCCGCGGGTCCAGGGCCCAGGGCGGCGGATTCCACCTCCAGCGGGCTTGCCTCGCTCACTCTCAAGCAGGCATCGTGGCTTTGGAAGGACCCGAGCCTCAGCTCCCCTCACCTGCCCTGGCCACTGAGGTTTTCTCGCTGGTCCCTCCAGAAGAATGACCCCTCCGCCTTTTCCCGCGGCTGCGACGCAGAGCGACCGCGGGAGCGGTGAGGCCCTGTGGACATCCACTCCGTCCTTGCCTAAATTCGGCCTCACCTCGGCCTCTGCCTGCCTGCTGTCCTCTCTACCGGCCTGCCAGAGCTGGGAATCTCCTAGAAGCAGCACTGGTGGCCTATCAGACGTCCCTGCTGGCAACTTTTAGCTCTGTCTAGGTTGCTCTTTCCGGCTATGCAGGTCCCAGGACTAAACGGTGTTCTGCAACCCCGGTTGTCCTTCGTGTGGGAACCACACTCTTCTCCCTGCACAGGGAAGCCCTGCGTGGAAATGCCTGGAGAAAATTAAGCGCTCAGTCCCTGCAGGTGTTGCAGGTTGTTGCTTTGGGCCTGCCTGGAGGGGTGACTGACAATGGAGGAGCACCCCTGGGGTTGCTTCTAGTGCAAGCGCTTATTCCTATTTTCCCTTCTGCTGAGCAACCGCTTCTCAGCACCTGAACAGAATTTCTTTAAAGTTTTAACAAAGACTTTTACAAATATAAATTTCCATACTCTTCTGTGTGTGCGTTATTCCAGCCTAAAAGTAAGAAGCAGCCTGCTGTGGGCCGCACTCTGTGGGCTAGCACTCCAGCCAGCCGTGCAGTGCTCAGGGTGGCTGCTTCAGAGGAGACCTTGTGGATTCAAAGAACTGACACACAAGAAGAGCGAGGGCACAAAACCGAGGAAGGGAGCGTGTACGTTGACATGGGTCAAGGGAACTTTGACAAGTGCTTTGCCGGCAAAAATATCCGAAAGATGCTATGAACATAGACACTAACTAGGGATCCAGGAAGATTTTTCTTCACCTCCAACTGGAGGGGAGAACAAAGAATGTGGGTGGGGTAGAAGAGGGGCATTCAGTAAAGGAGAAATTGTGAACAAGTTCCGAAAAGAAAATCAAGGTAGAAAAATCTGCCTCCTCCCTCCTTGAAAGAGTAAAACTTGTTTTTCCCTTTCTCCTCTTGCGAAAGCTCAGCTCAGCTCACAAAGGAAGGGCCTGGACTGGCTGGCTTGATGGGTTTCCAGGCAATTGCTGATGGCAAAGTGTGCTCTCTCCTTCCTCTCTGCGCCTTCTCCCGAAGAAGCCCTGGAGTTCTGCTCTTCCAGGACCTTCCAAACTACCACCAGGTTAGCCAGAGGAGAAAAAACTTGTTTTTTCACATTCCTAATGGATAAACAAAGAAAGAAAACCCCAATTTAAAAGTATAAGGTTCAAGAAGGAAACAAAGTGGAATGTATGGCCTTATAGATTGTACCTTCTGATCTCTCAGATGATGTGTGACTCTGGAGGGCATGAATACAACAAAAATATAAAAAGGAATGTGAAGCAGGCTCACCTCTCCAGAAAGTCCTAGGGTTGGTTGAGTTGACTAATTCAAAGACTATTCACTGCAAGTGTAGCCAGATTCCAAATTCTAATCCCTAGACCATCATTTATTAGTCGTGTGAGTTTGGACAAGTTTCAAGATATTGGTGAAGCTCATTTTCCCCTAAATATCCAATGTAAACAGTGCCTGCACTGGAGATCTGGTTTGAAGGTAAAAGGAGAGAATGGGTTTAATGGAGAGACATAGTAAGTGTTCAGGCTTCTGTGTTTCCTTCCAAACTCTTTTCTCTCCCTTCCCTGGCCAGGGCACAGCTCCACAAACTCCTTCCTACCTTTTGTAATACTTGGTTTCCTCCCTGACCAATATCAGTTCTCTGTCCCATAATGGACACTAATAGGAACTAAAGCGATAGGCAGCAAGGGACTCATCCCATCTTAGCTAGCTGAGCTCCAGCACATTGGCTTTCAGTTCATAAGGCCTATCTTCCCCACCGATACAGCAGTGATGTGCATAGGTTGCTGGGACATTCTACATGGAATGATGGTTTGGCTGTCCCAGGACCCTTTCTACTCAATATCCCTATTATGGTTTTATCTAAATGTTCCTCCAAAGCATTATGCACTTATAGGTGGGGGCAAAGCCTTATGTACTCATAGAGGGAAATGACTGGATCACGCCGGTGTGAAACTCTTCAGTGTGTTATTCTGCTGATTAGTTTATAGCTAAATATGATTTGGGAGGTGTAATGGTTGATATATTGTGTCAATTTGAGAAGTCTAAAAGCTTAACTAAGTGACTCAGCAGGGGGCCAAGGTCCTCACTTTATAAGCATCATGAGCCTGTGAAAGAGGAGGACCCCGAGATCATGTGAGTGCTACATCCACCCAAGGACAGATAGCCTGCATACAGTATAAGGGAGGAAAAGAGCCCCCCGCTTTGCTCTTGTTGCTTTTGCTGTCTTCTGCAGCCTTGAACTGTTGCCCTTGTTCCATGCCATCCTGCCTTGGAGCCAGATGATTACAGAATAAAACCTCCACAAACTGTGAGCTAAATAAACCTTTCCCTCTTAACTTTGGGTGTTGGGTGTTTTGTGTCAGCAATGAGAGAAAAGTAACTAACACAGGAGATGAAGCCTGATTAGAGGAGTTGGGTCACTGGGAGTGTGGCCTGGAAGGGTTTACATCCCTTCCTCCTTTGGTTTTCTCTGCTTCCTTGTGCCATATCATGAGCTGTTTCTTCTCTGGTGTGCCCCTCTGCCATGCCACCCTGCTGTGGAGCCGACTATGCACTGAGAACTCCACAAACTATGAGCCAAAATAAACTTTTCCTCCTTACTGTGGAGGACCACCTGGGTGACTCTCCTTGAAGGAGGAACGATTGTCTCCACTTAGCCCAAACCTGGTCCTAGTTCCGTGTACTGATGTTTGCAGAGCTGGATAGGACTTTTTTAAAATCACTTTCATTGTCTTCAAGCAATGCAAATCGGTCCAGCAGAGGTGCTAAAGTGTAGTCTTCAAAGCAAGGTGACAGGGCAGTGTTTCCTTGCCCTCCTCAGCTCCCAAATAAACATGTATGGATGGAGAGCTGTGCTCCACCCTGTCAGCTGGGATAAGGCTATGACTTCCCAGGGCATAAAAGATTACACATCAGAGCTGAAGCACTGACCTAAAACATTAGATACTACCTCAGTTGTGTTATGCCGATTCTCTTTTTATATATCCTCCTCTCTGCATATTGCAGAGGTGATTTCAGGCTTCCTACCTAGCCCAGCTCATGGCACTCATATACTTCCTGCCATTCTCACAGTCACAAAATCCTCACGCCACCCCTTTCTTTACAAATCAATAAGACTTGAGTTTGGCCCTGGATTGAGGCCTTTGTTCCAGTCAGCCATCACCATAGCTGAACATAGGACCCCTAGGCTTCCTATAACTATAAATATGCCTCGGTGTCTATTCTCACCATGGGTTGCACTGGAAGTAGTAGTTTAAAATTAACTCACTAGAATGCCAATAATTTTCCCATGGGATTACAAATACAAACTTGCTGGGCCAAAACGAGGACTGGGAAGGGCTCTCTATACTTACAACTGTGGATGTCAGGTATTGTGTCTCAGCAATGCGAAAGTAACTAAGACAACCTCCGGCCCCTTGGTTATAAACAAGGGAAGTAGGAGGGGGCACAAAGATTTTACCCAAGAAGATTTTGCCAAGTCACAAGGTCAAAAAGGAGTTAGACCCATGCAAGTTTTTTTATGAACAATTCATGGATAGGGATTCCTAGCTTTCATTCAATTCAACAAGTAATTATTGAGTCCTAAGGTTTTATCTGAATGACCAGTTATCCTGGACACTGTTCAGTGTACTCAGTACATGTGGCTATAAACTGACTTTTATAGCCTTAACATGGGCCTCATTTCTGAGCCTGGAAAACTCTTGATGATCACCTTTGAATGATAAAGATGTTTCTGATTCTTAAGTTAGGCCATTTAACCCCGAAGTGTTTCCTCGCTTGCCTTGAAATAAATTCTTCCTCAAGGATCATTACCAGCCTCTGTGCTATTTATCAGAACTGAAGCATTCATCAGATAATGGATATGAGCGGAGACTAGTACAAAACAGTTCTTTAAACTTACTCTGAATATGAATCTGGGGTTTCCTTTCACCCCTTCAAGGAAGTGCAAGAGAGACTACAGCTCTCTGATAGGGTCTCCATAGTACAGCTTTTGGATTTTACCCACCTGGACATTGGTGAAGCAGCTGTCCTCCTGATGTAATTTGAGGGCTGGCTAAGTGGGACTTCTTACCCGCATGTAGTTACACTGACACTAAGCTGTCATT